CAGAAGTAACCAGTTCCTCGGTTTTAAATTGCACGCTGTTCTGAGCAGTGTGCATCTGCCTCCGTCCCCCCTGGACGTGAATCATCCCTCGTCCAGCGTCTCCACCCTGAGCGCGCTCCCCGCCCGTTAGTCCCCGAGTAGCCGTCTTGCGGTAAGATTGACCGTCTCGGTATCACTGGGCTCGTGTTCAGGTCACCCTTATGGGGATGCCTGACGTTGATCACAAGGCCCACGTCATTCACCTCGCCGCACCATGTTGGCATTTCAGCGTCTCGCGTCACCACGGTAAGAAGGGTGAGTACAGGACAATAAGGCATTTTGCCAAAGAGGCTGCGTTCACGGAGCTTCTATCACAGTATGTTGCTATAACTGTCCTGTTGCATTCTTGTTGTTAACCTCCTTCTGTGCCTAAATTTATACACTGAGCTTTATCATAGGCGTGGTATAGAAAAAACATAGTATGTATAGGGTTCGGCATCATCTGTGGTCTCAGGCGTCCACTGGGGGCCTTACGCCCCGTGGATTAGGGGAACTACTGTATATCCATAGGTGATGAAAACACTACCTGGAAAAGATGTCCACACTCCCACGTGCACAGCAGCACTGTTTACAATGGCTAATACGCGGGAGCAGCCTAAATGTTCACTGATGGATGAACAGAAAAGAAGGTGTGATACTGGTGTGTGTGTGTGTGTGTGTGTGTACACACACACACACACACACACACAGAGCTTTTGTTATTCAGCCATAAAGACCATTTACAATAACGTGGACAGACCTTGAATGTATTATGCTAAGTGGAATAAGTCAGACAGAGAAAGACAAATACTGTATGATCTCACTTATATGCAGGATCTTAAAAGCGAAACTAAGCTCAGTAGAGAAAGATATCAGACTTGTGGTTACCAGAGGCAGGGGGTGGGAGGAAGCTGGTCCAGAGGGTACAGACTTCCAGTTACACAATAAATAAATCCTGGTGATGTAACGTACAGCATGATGACTGTAGCTCACTGCTGTGTGACACCCAGGAAAGTTGTTAAGAGAGTAACTCCTGAGTTCTCATCACAAGGAGAAGATGTTTTTTTCCTTTTTTCTTTTATTCTTTCTAGTCTTTTTATTGTATCTGTATGAGAAGATGGATGCTCGCTGAACCTTTTGTGATAACCATTTCACAATATGTGTAAATCAAACTATCATGCTGCACCCTTGGACTTAGACAATGATGTATACCAATTATTTTTCAATGAAACTGAAAAAAAAATAATCTTAAAAAATCTTTCTCTGGGATTTTACAAGTGCTTTCTCCAAAATGTGTATTCAAGATAAAATATTTAAAATATCAAATTTTATGTCTTATATATTTATAAAGATTGCAAGGGCTTCTCTACTTTTTAAAGTTCCTTTGCTAACGCATCCTACTTGAACACTACAATCAACCGAACATTCCGAGATCCAAATGAACCACCTTTACACAAAATCTTTAATGTGATGCATTTATAAGGTGAAGGCATCTTGTAAGGTATGAGATGGGGGTGGTGACAGAGAGACAGGCAGTTACAAACTTGGGAAAACTTTTTGCACAGAAGGTAGAACTTGAGGTAGATGCTAAATAATAGACTGACGTGGCTGAAGTTAAAAGGGTATTTCAAGTTGGGACAGACTGTTGGCAAAGGTGCATTTGGTTGAAATGGAGACTTATATGAAGACTAAAGGAAATGTTGACACATCGGTATCGGACCGAATTACAGGTGTTTCCCAATGTCGTACTAAGGAGTCTTGTGGATTTTCTTCCATAAATAATGGAGAGTCACGAAAGTTTTGAAGGACTTTAATGAGTTTGTGAGAGTAGTTGTAGAAATGGCCCTTCCTGGTGACGTGAGAGGAATTTGAAAGCAAATAGACCATTTATAATCAGATGTGTATGAGATGCCGGGGACCTAGAGTCATGTCGTGGGAACGTCAAACGAGGCAGCTGGGACACATGCTTCAGACGCAGTGCCGTAGTCTTGATGGAATAAAGGAGGCGAGGGAAGACAGTCGGTCAGGAAGGACAGTGAGGTTTCAGATGGGGCGACGGGGAGAACAGAAAACACGCCAGGAGGCAGAAGCGGGGGTCCAAGAGGAGAGTTGTTTGCATGGATGGGGGAAAGGAAAGCGCCGTGAAGTGCTTGGGGCTCGAGCCCAGGGGCTGCGCACTGCCATTTAAAATGACCTAGCGGCCCCGTTCAAAACAGCAACAGTCAACAGGTGGGTTATGTTTAGTGATACTTTACCCCAATATATTAAAAATACCATTTCGACATCCAACCGGTATAAAAGTATTAATGAGATGGTTTATGTTGTTTTTCTCATACCAAGCCTTTGAAGCCTGGCGTGGATTTAACGTGGAGAGCAGATCCCGGCCTAGCTCCATTTCGAGCGCTCAGCAGTCCCCTGTGGCTGGTGGCTGCCATACTGGACACTGAGCTATGGGACAGTTTAATAAAACTGATTTGTGCAGCAAATGTCTCAAATGGGCTGGTGCTGAGACTCACTCTATTGGAAATTATAATTCTGCTTATCCTTTCTCACTTCTGTTCCTTGGACTTATTTTAGCTTTTTCGGATTCCAAGTGCTCTTTTAGCCAAACATCATTCTTTCCCCAAAGCACCAAGGATTTTAGAAACATTTACGACATACCGTGTCGTTGCTCTCTCATTTAATACTCCATTTGACTAACAACTTTAATTAAACAAATCAGCCTGGGTCTCTTCTTCTCTTCCTTTGTTAGCCTTAAAACTCTCGTTTATGAAATAATTCGGCAATATGTCTTCAGAACCCCCAGATAAATGACATTTAGTACTTTGGAAATGAAACTACATTTTCATGTTCCCCTGTCTGCCTGTGTGTGCGTTTTCTCCAGCGTTGAATATTTGACATCAGCTTGCTGGAGTTTGGGTTGTTACTATATGCTAAAGAATGAAGTTCAAAGGGAGCCTCCTTCTATAGAAAACACGCCAAGGACATCGTGTTCCATCTTTACAATGAAATGCAGATTTCCATTAAAAGGAAAATCCATCATTTCAAAAGGTTGACTAGGATGCGTTAAAAAAAACCCAGCTGCTTAAGTTTAGGGCATTGAAAAACGTCTAAAAAAATTTCCCCGGGTCTCAAGCATTTTCATTTAATTATGTATTGAATAGTTTTCATTCAGTCTACGCTCTTGCCTTGATCTTGTTTCAAGTCAGATTCTACTAGGATACTGCACTTACTTAAATGATGGATTTTGCTGTTTAGAATATCCTTGTGTTTGCTAATATATTATTAATTTTTTTGCACAAGAAATATTGGACTCTCCTCATGGTGCTTTCCTTTTTCATGTTTATTCCTAGGCTTCCTTCACTCCCATTTAGTTTCTTTTATGATTTTCTTTTTTAATGTTCTTCGAAGACTTTGTCTGCCAGGACAGCCATTCTGTCCCCCAGCCAGCTTCCTTCAGCTTCCCCGCTCAGCTGGTTGTCTCCGCCTCGCTATCAGAACGTGCTCTGCCCAGCTGCCCCCTGACCGATTCGGGAGTAGGAAGCGGCAGGGAGCGCGTTACTCCCCGATAACTCTGTGGTGCGCAGGAGCAGCCCCCACGCGCTGGCCTCGGGCACAGATGAGCTCTGCTCCCCACTGCCCGGCCCGGCCACAAACCCTCAAGGACATGCTGTAGGGGCTCCAGGAACAATAACAAAAAAGGCTTATGTCAGACCTGTCTCTACAGCGCATGTATTCCCCACAGGAAATACATCAATAATTGTGCATTAAAAGCCTTGGCTAAGTCTCCGTGCTCCCCTCCTCTGGAGGCTAGTCCTGCTTTTTCTCAGGACCAGCACCAGAGACAGAGGCTGGGACCATACAGAGGACGACTGTTGATCCAGGACAGGGCTCAGATGCCCCAGGAATACATCATGACTAGGTTTCCTCGGCTGAGTGTTTGGCTCTCCTGTCATACTGGCTGTTCAGCATTTGTACATACGATAACATCACTCCTGGGCCAGTCCCTGAAAGCAAATGTTTCTAATAATTCTTTGCTGTTCAGTATGTTTGGCGTCATTTGCAGATGTCCCCTCTCTAATGTCCAGTTTCTTCCTAAAGAATTGTTCATTTTGAAAAGGAATCTGTTCTAGTTAATATCAGTCCACTTCTAATTTTGTTGTTGTTATTGTTGTTTCTCAAAGAGCTCAACAATTGAATGGCATCATTTTCTTTCTCCAGACCCCCATTTGTTCTAGACCTAAGTGAAGGAAGCATGGCTGTGCTCGAGCGTAGTTTATGGGGGCATTTCATTCTGGGGTCCTCATGCTTCCAGGCCCTGCCAGCGCTGGCTATCAAAACTGCTTAGACTGCAAATAAAATCTGAAATGAAATCCATCTGGCATTTCTCATTGAATTAGGACCAGAACATTTCTGTTAAATATTAACAGATGGCTAAATTCTTAATATCAAACTAACATTTGAAAACATCTAAGGGGACCCACATGAGGAAGAAAGGATAGAAGCCCATGTGTTTTCTCCATCGCTGAGCCCTTCCTTCCTCTAGACTTCCCTCCCCTTGTTCCTCCGACCATGTGTTGAGAATCATCGGAGATGCCTAACTTCTGTTCTTTGGTACCTGGTATCAAAATAATGTGCGGTGGCCCGGCCAGGCGTGGTTCAGCGGTTGAACATCTACCTAGGATCCAGGAGATCACAGTTTGATTCCCGGTCAGGGCACATGCCCAGGTTGCAGGCTCAATCCCCAGTCCGGGGTGTGCAGGAGGCAGCTGATCAATGACAGCGCTCTCATCCTTGATGTTTCTCTCTCTCTCTCCCCCCCCTCCCTTCCTCTCTCTGAAATCAATAAAGTGTGTTTTTTTTAAATAGTGTGTGATAGTAACAAAATATTGTAATCACATGTTGGCCAGCTCAGGTGAAGTGTCACCATTGACATGTTTCAAGCTCTTTTATTAAAGTGCGCTCTCTCTCTCTCTCAATAGGAAAAAGAAAAGAAGTATATGCTTCCCTTGGACAACCTGAAAGTTCGAGATGTGGAAAAGAGCTTTATGTCCAGCAAGCACATCTTTGCAATCTTTAACACAGAACAAAGGTAAGAAAATGGAACGACTTCTGTCTTCAGATTTTTCCCCCTTGAATTTCCACACCACCCAGAGATCACATTTGCAGTAGTTCCTCTGGCACCACCTGGAGATTTGTTAACTCAACATTTGCCCTCACTTGTCCTGCATTCTTAGATTCCACCATAGGCTATGGATTCAGAAGGTTAAAAGCTAGAGTAAGAAGGATCTTTAGGTATTAACTAGTTTATTCCCCGTGTTGCCAGGAGGCACCCTCACGATGTTGCTTCCATCCTTAAACTACATTTCATTACTTTAAAGTCTTCCTTGCCCTGAATTTATTGTTCACATACTAACGAATTACTCGGCTCTGATTTTAATGGTATCTGTTTGGCATGACTGAATATTACTTAAGATCTTCTCGTGTGTATTATGACTAAATTCTTGCATCAGTGAGTAGAATTACCAGTTAACACGGATACAAATATATCGTACTTGACAGTTTTTCCAAACACCATCCAGGCTCATTGTCTGTTTTTTGTAACAACTGCCTATGAGGTTAAAAGATAGAGTAGTGTGGTTACCATTTTATAAATTAGAAAATGTAGCTCAGAGAGGTTAACTGCCTTTCTTAAGGTCACAGAATTAGTACCTGGGAGATCTCAAACCTGAATCTTTCTTTTCCAGTTGCCGCTCCCTCCCTTCCTCCCTTTCTCCCTTTTTCTTTCTTCTTTCTTTTCTGCCACTCACCTACAGTAGCACAACTTACTTTGGGGCTGATTATCCCGACGACCATGGTTGTTCACTGAAACTAAGCGGTAAAAAATATACAAATGGAGAGGTAACAGAGGACAGGGACAGAGAGGGTGAAAGGGCTGTTACTACTAGGCAAGGAGAACATAGATCTTTTCCAAATGGAAATGCTATAGGAAAAAGCTAATTAATTTCTCCGAGCCAGTTATTAAGAGAAGGAGTCCTTAGGTGGTGGCGCCTAATTTTAACGGATCTTTCCAGGCCTTTGGTCTTTATTTAGCAATGAATGAGGTTCCTTGACTAGGTTCAGTGACTGGCCCAGGGTCAGTCACACAGTGAATCAAAATAGCAAACAGAGCCTTCTTCCTACATTCCCCGTCAGTTGCTCAGAGTGACTCATACGAATATACTTAGGAAAACCACAAGAGCAAGGCATTTAACCAATCAAGGGGCCAGCAAATTAAACACAACTCTCCTATCAAATCCGGAGACGGGATTTTTTTAAAATAAAAAACCACTTAGTATTATTTGAGAAAAACAAAACAAAACAAAACAGTAGTAATGAAAAGGTTTCCGGGGCAGAGCAGTAGCATGTCCTTGTGCTGGGACCAAGCTCCGAGCAGCGGGGAAGTGGCGGCCCCGCAGGAATCATCGGCGCGGCGCTCAGCCTCCTTGCCCGGCTGCCGGATGGGAAGTGTGACTACCACACAGGAGGTCAAGCTACAGCTGAGTCCTTGGTCAGCCTGGGAAGTTCAGGTTCTAAAACGGCTTGGGCCCTGGTCTGTGCTTCCCAGTGGTCAGAGCATCAGCCCACACACCGTAGGGTCTCGGGTTCGATTCCGGGTCAAGGGCATGTAACCGGGTTGCAGGTTCGATCCCCAGCCCTGGTCAGGGTGCTCGGGGGAGGCAAACCAATCGATGTGACTCTCTCACATTGATGTTTCTCTCTCTCTCTCTCCCCCCTTCTACTCTCTCTAAAAAATCAGTGGAAAAAATATCCTCAGGTGAGGGTTAACAAAGCAAACAGAACAAGTACTGGTAATATACCTGTCTCAAAATAAAAGGGCTTGGTACAAAATAAAAAATCAGCATCTTTTTAGATGAAATACAACTGTGGGTTTTAAAGAGAACAAAAGATACCAAAATAAGAAAACTCTAAGCTTCTAAAAAATGTAGGTATTCTGGAATGCTAGTTCTCAGCAGAGACGGAACTCTTCTGCTACGTCTCAGAGACCTCAGTGAGTACAAGGATATCCCATCCACAGGCACATTCACCAAGGCCTCTTTCTCCGAAACTGTGATTACTTTTCAATTAATTTTGTACTGTTAGGACCTCTAGTACAATGTCAAATACAATGGGGCATTCTTGTCTCGTTTTTATTTTAAGGAAAATTATTTCACAATTCTATTGTTAGGTACTTTCTGATAGGAACCTCATATCAGGTAGAGGAGATCCCTTGTGTTTCCAGATGCTAAATTGTTTCTCTTTTAATCATGATGGGTGGTGAATTTTATCAAGTGTTTTTCCTACCTCCACAGACAAGATTGGACGATTTTCTTCTTCAATCTGTTCATGTGGCGACATATATCAATAGACTTCTAATGTTAAACCATCCTTGATCTCCTGGGGTGAAACCTAGTTAAATCATGCTGTGGCTTAAGTTTGCTAGAATTTTATTTAGATTTTTACATTTACGGTCATAAGTGTGATTGGCCCGTCAATGTACTTTCCCTTCCTGGTTTTCATATCAAGGTTCTGTTAGCTTCATTACTGAAGCGGGAATAAGAACTCTTGTTCTTTGGAACACTTTGTATAAAATAAAGATTAACTGGTAATTGTTGTTTGGTAGAACTCATCAGGTCGTGATGGGCAGCTTTGTTAAGTAGACTTTTAACTAGTGATTTAGTGTACTTAATAATTATAGATTTGTTTAGGCTTTCTACTTTTTTCATGAGTAAATTTGGACAAATTATGTTTTTTCATAGGAAATTGTCCATTCTGTTCATTTTGAAATACATATATTAGTGCCAAGTATTTCTTAATGTTCTGTTTTTTCAAATCTCTGCCTTATCAGAAATTTGGCCCCTTTTTATTTCTAACAGTAAGCCTTATCTTTTTTAACATGATCACTGTTGCCAAAATTTTATCTTTTTATAAAAGCACCTGATTTTGACTTTTTTGAACCTCTATTGTGTATTTGTTTTTCCTGTTTCAATAACTTCTGCTCTTGTCTTCATTATTTCCTTCCCTGTATTTTCTTTGTGTTTACTTTGTAGGATTTTTTTTTGTTTTTTTTGATAACTTAATTTAGATGGATAGCTCATTGATTTTTATCCTTTATTTTTCGTTTATATGCATATAAACCTATAAAATTCCATCTCAGTAATCTTTAGATATTTACCACAAATTTTTAAATATAATGTTTTTATTATTAAGTTCTGTTTCCTTCAATCTTCTGTTTCCACAATCTTCATTATGATTTCTCCCTTCTGTTGTTTAGATGTGTGTTTGACATTGTATAGCGCATGGAATTTTATTGTTTTGTTTTTGATTTCTAACTTAATTGCACTATGGCCAGAGAATGCAGTCTAGCACATAGTCCTTTTCATAAATATTCCATGTATGCCCGAGAAGAGCGTGCTGGTTTGGGAGGGAAGGGTTCTGTAAGAGTCTGTTAGGTTGTGCTTGCTAATTGTATTACTCAGTTTCTATAGTTATGACCTTTTTTCACCTCGATTAATTCAAACGCTCAACAAGTATATATTCGGCAGCTGTTATGTGCCAGGCACTTCTTTATGTTCTTAAAATACATCTATGAATAAAACAGACAACAAAGATGATACATTTTAGGTTGATACCTTTTAGATTACGTTCTAGACAGGGATGTTGGCAGGGAGACAGACAGGGAGACAGACGAACACCATAAAGAATCTTACTTTATCAGAGGGGTGTGAAAAATCTCACTTTATGATTGTGGACTTGATTATTTCTAGTAAGTCTGTCAATTTTTGCTCTATGTATTTTGAGGTCAATCTGTTATTAGACTCTTACAAGTTTAGAATTGTATCTTCCTGGTGACATTAAAAAAAAAATTGTGTGGCAGCTGCCTTTATTCCTAACAATGATCTTGACCTTAAAATTGATTTTGTCTGATCATAATATAGTTACACTACCTTTCTTTTGGTTAATATTTGCTCGATTTATTGTTTTATACTTCCTTTGGCCACCAGCCTTTCTGTATTTTCATTGTGTTTTTCCTATAGCACGTCGCTACATTTGTTTCTTTTCTTCTAACTTGAGGTCTTTTTCTTTTAACTGGTGAGTTTGGCCCATTTATATTTATTACTATCATTACTGATTTTTTTTAGTGTATTTGAACATCTTATTTTAGTCTTTCTCATCACCCTGCCTTTCCTATACTTGTTTTCCGCCTTCTTTCCTGACTTATTTTTCCTTTACTTAGGTTAATTACTTTTTTCCCTTGGCTTGGAAATTATATACTTTAATCTTTTAGACATTCCTTTAATATTTTTGCCTTGAAGTTTGAAGTTTGTTGTTCTAGATTCTTTTTAAAATGAGCTTAAAACACTTTAACTCCACTAATCTCTCCTGATTGCCATATTACTGTTACCCAGTATTTGCGTTCCACCTCAGTCTTTTACCACTTACTCAGTATTATAATGGTTCACATGCAGGGATTGTTGGGATTTATTGACGTGTTTGTCAGTTTCTTTGTTCACTTCTTGCACCCCAGTGTTTAATTTTGGTCCCTTCCCCTTCGCACTAAAGCACACCCTTCAGAAATCCCGTCAGTGGGTACTATTTGGTTGTAACTTTACGTTTGGTGTTTGTTTTACTGAAAATGTTTTAATTTGTCCTCATTTTTTAATAATACTTCCGTTGGATATTAAATTTTATCTAGTACTTTGAAGTCATTATTTCCCAACATTCTGGCTTCCGCTCTGCTTTTGAGAAGTTAGCAGACCGTTTAATTATTGCTGCTTTTAATAGGTAATCTGTTTTTCCTCACCGGTGGAATTTACGAGCTTTTTTGTCTTTGGTATGCTCAAGTTTCAGTACAGTGTGTGTTTTGCTTTATATTTCCTGCTTGGGGATTCATTGTGTTTCCTAAACCTGAGGATTCATGGTTTTAATTGAGTCTGAAAAAAATCTATATCATTCTCTCTTTGACTTTTATCTCTTCTCTGTTCTTTCTTGTTTCTCCTTCTAGAATTCCCATTAGAAATGTGCTAATCCATTTTATCCTATTCTTCATGT